CAGAAAATTGTCCAAGTGCAATGACAATTTGTTCTCATTTTTCAGGTACTGACCCCTCTAATTTACTCAACAAATTAACTCGGTTAAACGAATGATCCGTATCAATTTTTCTTTTTTTATAAATAAATGACAGAATAAATCAGTACCGAAAACCAAAGACCGATCAATATTTAATTTATTCATCAAATTAACGCGGATAAATGAACGATTCGTATAAATTTTTTTTTCTTATAGAGAAATGAAAGAGTAAATCAGTACCGAAAATCGAATATCGATCAATACCGTAAATCTGTGTCAGAAAATTGTCCAAGTGCAATGACAATTTGTTCTCATTTTTCAGGTACTTACCCCTCTAATTTTATTCAACAAATTAACTCGGATAAACGAACGATTCGAATCAATTTTTTTTGTCTTTTAAGAAAATGAGAAAATAAATCAGTACCGAAAACCGAATATCGATTAATACCATAAATCAATGTCAGAAAATTGTCCAAGTGCAATGACAATTTGTTCTCATTTTTCAGGTACTGACCCCTCTAATTTACTCAACAAATTAACTCGGTTAAACGAATGATCCGTATCAATTTTTCTTTTTTTATAAATAAATGACAGAATAAATCAGTACCGAAAACCAAAGACCGATCAATATTTAATTTATTCATCAAATTAACGCGGATAAATGAACGATTCGTATAAATTTTTTTTTCTTATAGAGAAATGAAAGAGTAAATCAGTACCGAAAATCGAATATCGATCAATACCGTAAATCTGTGTCAGAAAATTGTCCAAGTGCAATGACATTTTCTCATTTTTGGTACTTACCCTCTATTTTATTCAACAAATTAACTCGATAACGAATGTTCGTATCAATTTTTTGTCTTTTAAGAAAATGAGAAAATAAATCTGTACCGAAAACCGAATATCGATTAATACCATAAATCAATGTCAGAAAATTGTCAAGGCAATGACAATTTGTTCTCATTTTTCAGGTACTTACCCCTCTAATCTTATTCAATAAATTAACTCGGATAAACGAATGATCCGTATCAATTTTTCTTTTCTTATAAATAAATTACAGAATAAATCATTACCGAAAACCAAAGATCGATCAAAACCTAATTTGTTCATCAAATTAACGCGGATAAATGAACGATTCGTATGAATTTTTTTTGTCTTATAAGAAAATGAGAAAATAAATTAGTACCGAAAACCGAAGACTGATCAATATCATAAATCAATGTCAAGAAAATTGTCCAAGTGCAATGACAAGTTGTTTTCATCTTACAGGTACTTACCCCACTAATTTACTCAAAAAATTAAGTCGGATAAAAGAAAGATTCGTATCAATTTTTATTCTCTTATAAAGAAATTAGAGAATTAGTCAGTACCGAAAATTGAAACCGATCAATATTTAATTTATTCGTCAAATTAACGCGGATAAATGGACGATTCATATGAATTATTTTTTTCTTAGAGAAATGAAAGAGTAAATCAGTACCGAAAATCGAATATCGATCAATACCGTAAATCAGTGTCAGAAAATTGTGCAAGTGCAATAACAATTTGTTCTCATTTTTCAGGAATTTATCCTTCTAATTTACTCAACAAATTAACTCGAATAAACGAATGATTCATATCAATTTTTCTTGTCTTATAAAGAAATGAGAGAATAAATTAGTACCGAAAATTGAAAATCGATCAATATTTAATTTATATATCAAATTAACGCGGACAAATGAACAATTCGTCTGAATTTTTTCTATTCTTATAGAAAAATGAAAGAAGAAATCAATACCGAAAATCGAATACCGATCAATATCGAATTTATTCATCAAATTAACGTGGATAAACGAACGATTTGTATCAATCTTTTTTTCCTTTATAGAGAAATAAAAGAGTAAATCAGTACCGAAATCGAATGTCGATCAATATCAGAAATCAGTGTCAGAAGATTGTCCAAGTGCAATGACAATTCGTTCTCATTCCCGAGTCTTTCCCGAGTCGAAATATTAATTCTACATTGATCCTGCAAATTGCATCCAATTTGAAAAATCAATGCAGAATATTTAGATGCGCAATAGTGAACAAGCTTTCTCCTACCTGAACGTTACATCTGGCTACTCTCGTAGTTTCGCCCATGATGAGTCTTCGACAGCGACGTATTCCGCAGTTATTAATACTCGTTTACTTCGATAATGTATATGTACTTAATCCTTATATTCTTAATTTAAATGAGCAATTTTTATTGATTTTGATTATATGTTCGCTTAACAGCGCAAGAAAGATAAAAACGTACAACAAACAAAGATAAAAACGTAAATAGAACTGCCTTTGTTAGAACTGCGCGTGAGATAAATATATAAGGATTAAATAATCATATAAGAATTAGAGGAAATGGGAGATGAAAAATACTTTTTATTCTCATCATTCTTAAAGTTTTTTTTTCCTTTCTTCTTCTCTTTTTTTTCTTTTCTTTTTTCTAATGAGAATGATGAGAATTGTAGCTCTTAAAAGAGCTGAAGCTGCAAAAAGACAACGGTTATGTCTAATAATGCTGTTTCACTAATAGAGATTTTAATTCTGATTCGGTACAATAAGAAAGATAAAGAAGAATGAGAAACGGACATTCTAGCAGATTCTAAACGAAAACAGCAATCTGAGCATTATTAGACGAATAAAAATCAACACTTGTAAAATTTATATCAGATTCTGAGATCATTATTCATAGTTTTTTTAAATTATGTGCAATTTTTCATTGAGAACAATTACAAATTTGTATTGATAAACCTTAGCTTGCCTCAGCAACCTTGCTTGAATGGACATTCATATTTTATGAGAAAAGAAAAGTACAACTCATGTTACGTGAAATTAGGTTAATGAATAATCAAATCTCAAGCTATTTTATCATTTTTCAGATGATAAACTATGAATGCTGATCTTATTTCGACTCGGGTATGTCCTTACTTCGAGTAAGGTCCGTTAAAATCAGAAAAATAATAATGCGTAATAATAATAACTCGAGGTACCTCGAATACCATACATGTATCGCTGTCCTCGGCTACGTCTCTCGGCGCGCTCCAAGTCCTCTCTCCATCCTGACTTCTCGATCCGACGTCCTCCTTCTGGTCCTCCGTCGCAGCACCCCCGGATACTCCATCGTAGCACTGGCGACGACACTGACTCTAGCTCTAACACTCGCGCAAGTAAGATTCGGGGACAAAGAAACGCGTATTAACCGCGATACGACTATCGACACTCGTACTGTGTCGCGGTATGCGCGTCGTTCGTCGGTCCGAGGCGCAATGTCCTTTCCGCAATCACGGAGTCATATATAAGCGTACGAAAACAAACATTCGGGTAGGCACGGTTACCCCCCACCAGTCGCTGACAAGTGTCGATCAGTGTTGATGCCTGCGTCGTCCGTTAGCTGAAAATGAAAACAACTCGTGTTTTCAAAGCATGCCTGTGAGAGACTCGCTTCAAACTTCACAATACTTATTTACGTCTGTTCCAAGAATCATATTACGCCGAATTCAAACTGTCTCTATTGACATGACATACACGAGATCTGCGATCGCATCATTGATCTTTCTTTGAACAAGAAAATCCTGAGAGGAACGCTGTTCGAGAATATCGCATTTTATGTTTCAGGTGCCTTGCAGATCCGATATCGAATCCGATGTAACAGATCAGGGAAAGTATGAATGTGTCGTTATGAATAACACGCGTGGGCACGGAGTACTCCAAGTCAATCACGTTATACGTGAAACGTACGTATATTTAATATTATACAAAACTTACGTTTTTAAACAATAAGGTAAAAAAAAGGCGCCAAGTACAAGCGCAACACGTATTATGTTATTTTTAGAAGTATCAAACTCAAATTATTTTTTTTATTGTATATATGTGTACATAAGTTTTTACAAGTAAAACTTATAACTATAATAAAACTCTGCAACACTTTTCTACTGTACAAAAGAAGTGATATATTAGAACAGTAACGCCAACTGAGAAACCTATCATATATACATGATTATTGTATACTTAACTTTATATTTTTAGAAATCTCAAATTCAAATTATTTTCTTTTTTAAGATATATATTATGTACATAATGTAAGTTTTTATAATACATGTACATAAACTTTTAAAAGTAAAAATTATATCGTGTTATAAAAATTTAACACGTTTGTTAATAGTGTGCAATATTTAAAAAAAATATCTTTTTAAAGGTTATGTTATTCAAAATATTCAAGAAAACCTAGCTACAAAAAATGTCCATAACATAAATTTTTACAAGTAAAATTTATCATTATTTATTAGAACACTGAGTTATGTGGTTATTTTACATGTTATTGTAACAAATTAATTATTATAATAATGCAATAAAAAATATTTGATACAAAAAATCTTGGCGCGGCTGCACTAAAAACTATATCGAACTAAAACTTGTTTATTACATATATGACAGCATTTTTATTATAATATATTCTATAATGAAGGTTTATAATTTATTTATTATAATACTATATAAACTTAAATAAAACATTATACCGTATATGTATAAAGAGAATTTACAAGAACATTCTATTATAATAAAATTGCTGTCATATATGTATTAATCAAGTTTTAGTTCGATATGAAGGCAACGATAGATACATCATGCGTCTCCAGACGTATCAAATCGTTTATTATATAGGAGACTTTGATACGACAACATGTATATAGAGGATTTAATATTTAATATGTACTTTTATTTTTCCTGCTCCCCCCCCCCCCCGCTCTTTCTAGCCTTCGGGCATAGTTTGGCATAGAGATAGTAACCATGGTTGCAGCACGAACATAAACCGCTTGAAAGTGGATGTAGCACGGACTTCCACCACATGCAGATTTTATCACCAAGACCTAAAAGTGGATGTAGCATCGTAGTTCTCCTCTCAAAATGGATGCAGATGGCGCCCATTTCCAGTGCGAAAAATCGGTGTCGCCGAAAACGCCGTGTTGACCGCTCTCAGCTTCCTCTCTGTTTGTACGATACAATACAAAAATTTACTCAGGTTTGACAGGCTTTATATTACCTCATCGATAACATCGGTAGTTCATGTGCACGGTTGTAAAGAGAGCGCTTCGCACTTTGCTCGGCTAAAAGCGCGGTCCATGACTCCTCTCCTTCTCTCTGATATGTAAATACATGGGCAAAATAGTAGAGTCGGAGGGGGCTGCCCGCAACTGTCAGTTAAAATTGAAGGGGGGAAAAGTTTTCTCTCTGCGAGTAGCAAGTATGTTTTTAATTTTTCAAATATATCAATTAATAAAACATCCTCACAATGTAGCAACAAATAAATTAATATCCATAAAATCATGAATAAACGATGAATAAATAATTATCTCGTATTCACCGTTTGTTATTATTAAGTACTACAGTCTAGTACAACAGTACGGATATATATTTACGTAAAATGAAAAATATTTATAAAGTTATAATATTTTTATAGAGAAGTTATATATATGATTTTTATAATTTTATCATTTCAGAACTTTTTATGTTGCGTAGGGATAAGTTCAATGTGAATGAGGTTATGGATAATTTTGCATGGACTCGCCAACTCCATTGTCCACCAGCAATATGCAACAATATGATAAGAAAAAGGTTTATTTAATATTATCGTCCAATATAAACTTTCTTGTTTTATATTACTACAATACTCAATCTCTTGTTTTCAACAGATTGAGCAAAGGAGTACTGGAGCTCCTGTGGGAAGATATTTCTCCCTCTATGTTGCCTATGGCCGAGGTACAAAAAATAAGAAAGAACATTTTGTTACACAAACTGAAACATGGATTGAATGATTCCACAATTGAGTCCGTGAAGGATTTGAAACAATTGAGATCTAACAAGGACGTATTGCAACATCAGATATCAGTGATGAGAGAAAATTATGAAGATCTAGATTATAATGTTAGGCAGAAGAGTAAGTTAAAACCTATGCATATTAATATGAAGGATCTCTTGATATGATATTCTGTTAAAACAAGTTTAATTTCTAGTGCAGCGATTAAAGGACATAAGAACTAAACGTTCTATGATCAGTATTAGAAAAGATTTTCTAAGGTTAAAACTTGATGAAACTAGCCAACAATTGAAAGACTGTGGTGATATGAGACAAGTCTGTCAATGTTTAATGCCAAGCACATCCAAGGATATAGATGAGAATAAATTGCAAGAGAGTCTGAATACAATAGCAAGTTTGCGTTCAGCACCAGATAGGAAGCAAGTAAGTACTTTATTTCAAGAACAAAGTTCTTGTACAAGAGAATAATAGTAATTTTTCTTTTTGTATCTATAGATCTGGAAAAAAATATCAACTTCTCTTGGTAGCATCGACACACATATATTATGGACACACTTATATCAAGCATTGTCGCAAGATCTAGATATGCTAATGAAGTTGGAGATCAAAGATGATACTAGCAATTTTTCTGCAGTAGGCGAAAATATAGATATTGGTATTGCAAGAGTATGCGGCGAGCAAATATGCATGACGTTGAGACGAGTATTGTCTAATGCTAAGGCTAATAACTACCAGCAAAACATAATGGAAATCATAGAATTGATAGAGGTAATATGTAGCCTCTTTCACAATGGCAAACTACGCAAAGAAGTTTGCTCAAGAAACGTAAGATACAATTGAAATTAAACTTTATCTTGCAGTCGTTATCCGAGGAAGATGTGAGCCAGTGGTTGACTTTAACATTGGAAATAAAGAAGTTAGAGACCGAGCAAGCGTATCTGGGAAACGAAACGCAGAAACTGAAGAACAATATTCAAGACAATTCGTTGCTTAATTTCGAGATAGCTCGCTTAACGACTGATATGGAGACAATCGATGCGCAGATGGTACGTTCTCATTATCGCTTCATGTTTTGCACGGTATTAATAATCGTATCTTCCCCGACAGGACGAATATGTGAAGAATATCCAACAGTCCATAGCTATCTTGAACTCCAGTGCGTCGCTTATACTCAAAATGAAAGAGAAGTTGCATTGCGAACTGCAAAAGATAACGGCGCTGCAGACCGAGGACTATGATCCGAATTGGTTAAATAACGCGTTGAACGTCGAGCTCGATATATTTCATAACAGTTTGGATCTCAACGCCTTGCGAAAAATAATGTTGAAAGGAGATGTAGGCGAATACAGGTCGGTGGGGGTTTCGTACGTCGGATCAGTCCGCTCGATTTCGCGATTACTAATGTGTGACGCATGAACATTTTCTTCGCAGACATGCAATCTGTGGTTTCGACCACACCTCCGTAACGCCGATCAACCCGCAGATCAATTCGAAGATCAAGTCTTACTTCCCGATGATACACACGCCAATCTACACTCTCATAGATTGCTACAAGAATATAGTCGCCAATGTAAATTACAACAAGTTGCAATACTCGACACCAACAGAAGATATCGAGTGGGCGATTAAGTCGCCGCGAGAAAATTACAATGACGTTAGCCTGGAGCTGCTGAGCTTCTCCAGAATGGTTTGCGGTCAGGTGCGGGAGGAGATCGAGAGTTTTAATGCGACCTTCGAGTCTTGGTAAGTTGCACGCATCTGTCGCGATAATTTCGAATTGACACTAGTTGATATTTAATCAGCTCCAGTAAATGGCTGGAATAAATGAAATTTAATGATGTAACGCTTAGGATGCGCCAAGATGTGCAAGAAGCGATGGCGCTCATCGAGACGACCGTGGATGACGTGTCCTTCAAAGACTGGTTACAGCGTTATACTTTATTGCTGTATATGATACAAAAGATCAAATGATTCAACTATCCCGTCATGGTTCATCTGTATAGTATTATCACGTCCGAGCAATTTTTATACACATATGTAATATAGACTTTTCCGGTTTGAAGCCGAATTTGAAGCATCGCGCTAATTTGCTGTCCGAGTAATCGAGCGCTCGGATAACGCCAAATCCGAGCAACGCTTACGTCGAAACCCTGCTCACCGATGTAACGTTTTAACAAAGCCAGAGGAGGCAATGATGGCGCCGGTGAAATGAACAGTGTACACGCGGGGATAGTAAATAGACTTATATTTTCTCGCAAAAATACATCACGTAATACACGTTAACCAATTGCGCAGATTAATGTGTGAGTTTCGGTTACAATACGACGGTAGAAAATTTTCTGTCGACGTAAGAGCACTTGGAATTCTCAAAGACCGCTTCTCTCATGCGTGACTGGCGCGGCGTGCGTGTCCACGATAACGCCTTCGGCGCCCACTTCGGCGAGCCGCTTGCAACAAAATAACTTCAAGTTCCCCGCCGAGTGGGAAGAAAACTCATCGGATTGTCCGCGTACTTTGCGTCGTACGCGCGCATTTGGGGTTTTTTGTTCTTTGTTTTTTTTTTTTTTTTTCCTTTTCGTTGCAGTGTTGATACGTCGCGGCCGATCTCGGTTTGACGATTCATCGTCGGGTGGCTCCCGCACCGGCAGCACGAGCGTCTGAAAGACCTCTCAGAGATGAAAATCGATTTGCTCGAGACGTCTTCAAGGTACCTCCGTGATATTTCAGTCGCTCCTGCTGCCCGGGTCCCCTCCCCACGTATATGTAGATTTAGGCACAAACGCTCACGTGTGACACGCGAGTTTCGATTATCATTAATCGCGTTGCCGAACGGGCTCGTCGTTTCGACGGTTGTTCTCTCTTATCCAGTCGATCAATGGCACGGAATGGCATTCGAAAATATATTTACGTCTGTTTATAAAAGGAGGGAGTATATATAAGAGCGTGTGGTTCGAGAGCCCGATTCGCAAGTGAGTTCATTCGCGCAGATTGGCACGCCGTGTTGTCGAATCGAATGTTACTCCGTATTGCATTTATTTCTACAAAGACACGAGAGCGTCCGAGAGTGAAGGGCAGTAAACGAAGTCCCGAAGTCGCGAAAATGCAAAGCGCCCCCTTAACTCTTTCGTTTCCTTATGTACGTAGCCGCAACTATGTAAAAATCGCTCACCCTCGCAGCGCGATTTTATACTCGTACCTTTCACATCTTATACGCATAATAATTCATATAAATTAACTCTGACCCCTGAACTCGGACCTATCTATAATACGTGTGTATGTGTGTGTGTGCGCGTGTGTGTGTGTGAATCTGTGTGTTTTCCCTTATTCTTTTTTTTTTTTTCGTTATTGTCTCGGTAGCGCGAAATGCGTTGGCGCAGTGCGACCGTCGCACCTCGGCCACCTCCTCAACGTACGGTGTACAAAACTAACCTACCTATGTACAAGACACTATGTATTATATACGAGACGCGCGAAGCGAGCGAGACATGTCGTTCCGAACGTCGCCGTTTGAATCCTTCGACTTTGAGCACAGGGAAGAAAGTCGACGGGCGACAATTACGAGCTTTACAGCGTTGAGAGTTTCAGTAGTCGTATAAAAAGTACAAGCGAATCTCGATAAGAACTCCCGGGCCGCACGAGGAGGTCCTGGGATGAGCCCGAATGTGTCGAGGGTGTCCTGGGGAGGGGGAAGTGATGTCCCAGGACGCGCCCTGGGCACATCCGGGCTGATCTCGCTTTGGAGTTTCGTGTTAGCTCCGGGCTCCTTATGCGAAGTCACGACTTTTCCATATTCGCGGACAGGTGTCCCGAGCTTCACGAACCGAATGTCTATCGATTATTCCTTAATTTATCTACTATTTTACAATTCTGTCAACTTGTGTCGCTCGCTCTCCTGAATTTGAGCTTGAATGACGTCGTCGTTTAGATCCAGGAAGGCATTGATATTCGGATCACTTCGAGGAACTAATCCGGCCGCTGGCAACTCCCGGAGGGAGGGGGGGGAGGGGGATTCCCCGCGCCTGGTAGCTCAAGTCGACGAGCTCGCGCTGATGACGCGGACGCGAATCCTCTCGCGCGTTTCGCGCTCGCCCGCGTTAAATAGTACAATAGTAGAGGCGGCGAATGAGACGCGCTGATCCGAGGCATCGGGCATCCGCGGTCAAGACGTGGTCACAGCGTGGCGGCTGCTCGGCGCGCGAGAAGAAGATCGAGTCCCTCACGAGAGTCGACGTACGACCACAGAAGTCGGTCGCCGGTATGTCAGACCGAAGCTTTTGAGCTTGAAGTAGTATTGAGCAAAGGCACACCTGTCGCCCCGACGGGCGCGATCGTGTCCCGCCTGCTCCTGCGACCGCGCCCGACGCTCAAACGATCGAGCCGAATGAATGGATCCATCAAGACGAGAAAGACCAACCTCTCACAGCAGCGTGTCAAAGTCCTCTTCAATCGTCACACACGCATACACGTTAAACCCTCCAGGACTCCGCAAGTTTGACCTCCTAATATTGCCAGAGCAAACAAGCAGCCTAAGAAGCCATAATTCGCGAATTGCCACTTCAAGTTTAACTTCGCACTTTTCTTCAAATACGTTGTCGAAATCTAAACTTCGAATTGAGAGAGCATCCGGCAATACGCCGCGTTTAAGGCTCTCGGGTCGCCGTCGATGTCGCCGATACTCGTCTCTCCTGTGAGATACTCGAATCTTCACTCAGGATCAGACCCGAGTTCGCTCGCTTGAATTGTGTACAGTCGGCTGATCCGAGGCGACGCTTTCCGTCGCCACCATTAAGCAGCCCCGACTGCGACGCTATTGGATTTATCCAATCGCCGATCTATAATTTAGCCGACAAACTCTCGTCTGACTCTGAATTCAACTCGCTCGAGACGAGTTTCTAGTGACTCGACTCAACACAAATTCCCCGCTGTGGCAATTACACACGTACGCGGCGCCGGTTCAGGTCCGACGAGGAAGTCAAACGTCCAGCTCGGCCGCCGTGAACGCACCCCGCTCCCGTGTGATTTTTGGAGCACGTCGTTCCACCGCTCGACGGCGTTTACGTAACCGACAAATTTCTCGACGAACCGCATCCGTTCGCAAGTCGATCGGTTAAGGTCACCCGACTGGTTCGATAAGCCTGAGACGAGATTTTTATGCGAGTCCACGCAACGAACGGCCGAAATGCAAACGAAAATCTCTCGCCGGTTGTTACGTAACGGCGGCGTGCCGTATTGTGATTTACCGTTATCGCGTCTATGTAATTTCTCTTATTATGTAAGCCCGGAATCGTGCGCGGGGAGCAGATACCGGCGTCTCTCCAGGAGCGTTTCGCCATTTTCTATCGAACGTACTCACTCGTGAAGTCGCGACGGTTTATTTCTAATCGATGTGAAACGGGATCGCTTGACCGCGCTACGCGAACCGTGAAAAGAAACGCAAAAAGAAACTTCAAGAGAGAGAGAGAGAGAGAGGGTGGGCGGGCGGGCTGGAGGAAGGGGACGGGAGCAGAGAGGGGAATCAGAAACGACCATTCAAGAATCTTCAATGTAACGCGAAGTAGCGCTCGCGAGAGGAACAACATCGCGTTGATTCATCAAACGTCGTCTAATATGATCTCATTTGGAATTCCCAGAAGGATGTCGACCTGCAGTATCTCCCAAGTTGCCGCGTACGTCTCTTCTGCCTCTCTCTCTCTCTCTCTCTCTCTCCCCTGCAACTTGTGATCGGTGTATCAAGTAATCGATGACACTCGATGAGACTAGTCTCGCCGGCAAAGGATAAAACAAAAGAATAGGAATAAACGACGGAGAAGAAAAAGAAATTATATAAATAGAAAAGCGAGCCCGTTTCACACTCGGGTGAGTGAGAGAGACGCAAATTGTTTCGAGTTTAACCCGCGAGAATCACAATTCGCGTCCTGTTTAAACACGCGCTTCACCGTAACGATCACCGAAAACATTCGTTTGGACGAAAGCTGCGGTGCGATTCTGCAACTCGTTGTTGAAGTTAACGACACTTTCGTTATCGTTGCGTTATCGCAGCTTTTGTACTGAAAGCCGTAGAAAAGCTGCGCAACGATAACGAAAGTGTCGTTAACTCCAACGACGAGTTAAAGAATCGCGCCACTGGTCTCGCGCGCGGGCCGCTTCTCCGGGTCGGACTCGCGGCGGATAAGCCGACGATCGCGGAGCCGTTGTCGCAGCACCTCGCGACTCGATTCGCGCGATCCCCGCGAGACAAAAAAAATCGCTCGCCTCACGCGCTCGTCTCACGGCCACGAACTGTCGCGCCGCCGTCGCGGTCGCAGGAGCAGCAGAATACGACGAGCGCGCGTCCTCGTGTCTTCTGCGTCGTCGCCCGGTCGCGATCGCACGACGATCGTCTGGCTCCAGCTGGAGCCAGCTGGAACTAGCCAGGAGACGGCCGTCACGCTCATGAAACATCGATGTACCGCGTGCCGCGAAAGCGCGCGCGACGTAATTTTGTACTTTTTTTCTCGATGGACGCGTCGGTCTCGATGGGGTCTTCGATTCTTCGTGACGATACAATAGGGAGGACGAGATTGAGAAAGGGGATTGGGAAAGGGGATGGACGAGGAAGGGGAGGGGAGCGGGGGAGGATGAAACAGGGGGGAGAGAGAGAGAGAGAGAGAGAGAAAGAAGACCCGCTGTGATCCGTCGGCGACCCCGCGGAAAAAAGAAATGGACACGACATCGTGGCGAATGGATCGACTAGGCTAGGCGCTACCGGGTTACTCGGTCGTCGCGTACGGTTTTCGGAGGTTGAGCTCCGTCGCCGCTAAGCTTTCGCCTTTCACGTAATAGTCGGCAGCATCCCTCCTCCTGGAACCGTTCGCGACGACGCCGTTCGCGACGACGCCGTTCGTGGCGACGCCGTTCGCGACACCGTTAACGGTGCCGTTAACGTTGCCATTCGCGACGTGGCCCTCGACTGAGCCTCGGTGACTCTTGGCGACGCCGTTTGCCACCGCGCCGGCCCTCTTCCTGGGCTTCTGCTGATAGCTCTGCTGGTAGAATTCCTTGAACAGGAAGAAGAACATGACGGCGTGCAGGCCGATCCACCAGACGAACGCCTTCGGGTAGTTGCACTCGATGAAGAGCAGCTGGAACGCGTGGATCATAATGGCGATGAACTGCAGCATCTGGAAGGCGGTCAGGTACTTCTTCCACCAGAGGTAGGGTTGCACCCGCGGACCCAGCGCCGCCAGAAGGTAGTACATGTACATGACAATGTGGACGAAGGTGTTGAGCAGGCCGAAGAAGGTCGAGTGACCGCCTGGTACAAAACGAAAAAAACAACAATTACAGTTTGCACAGTCACCGGTCGCAAGCGAGTGTTCAGTTCCGGTCCACAGTAAGTGTGGCAGGCCCTTAGCCTTTCGCTCTCTAAACTCAAAACTGTGCATCATTTTCGGCTAAAAACCCGCTGCCGCTGGTCATCATTCTCAAAGTTTAACGCTGAGCGTTCTGTCGATTTCCTTGATTTTTCGACGACTTTTTTACGGAAAAGAAAACAGAAAAAATACGGAATCCTTTTATCCTCGAGAGTCCCGGACGTTAGCAGGTGTAGCAAAAGTGTGTACAATCGTCGATTGTTATAATTGCAAGGGTCTTGCAAACAAACAAATGGTTAAAATCAGCAATTCTCGATCATTCTTTTTCTTCGTTATTGATATTTTTTTCGTCAAAGAATGTAAAAGAAAAGTGTCTTCTCGATGTAAGAATGAAGGTAAGTAAAACAGCCGTAGCAGTATCGTAAATGTTTGTAAAACCGCGTATTTACACACACGCCGGAAAAGGCCACACTCGGCCCACGAAGAAGGCAGCGAGACGGCACGGTGGCGGTGGTGACGCCGCGATTTCGCGCACGGCATTGATAAAAGTCGCTTTTGCGAAATCGAGCGGGCTGTTGCAACAACAAATCGACACGTAACGAATTGCGTAAAGCGATTTTCTACCTACCGGGTGTGAACTTGACACCGAACCAGACCGACATGGGCATGCAACCGTGATGGATGACATGCAGCGTGGACACGTGATTGTTCTTCTTGCGTAACACGAAGAAGATCTGTAACAGTGCGGCGAATTAGCATCGGCGGCTCATTAGCCGAGCGGCGCGAAGGAGGCCGGACCTGCCGTTTACGTACCGTGTCCATAAATTCGGTAAATTTCGAGAAGTAGTACCACCAACTCGCGTGAACCATCTGCGATTTCAAAACATCGGTTAGAAGGAGTTACCGTTCCGCTTGCCGCTCGTCTCGTTCAATTTACACCCGCGAAACTAATCACTGACGGGGATACACAAAAAAAAAAGAATACATCGAAATGTAAAAATTGAGACAATTTCCGGAGAAGTCATGATATCGAAGTCCGAGTGAATGGATGAATATTATAAATGTGGAAGTAGGCTGAAATAAGTATAAATTGTATAAAAATGTCGGAACCGTCTCGTTTTGCAGCCGAATGCGCGTTTATATCTACGTCGTGTTTAAATGCACAGATAAATATTCAAATGAACGGTTATCAGCAGCGTGCACTCGCGTGTACGTTATTTGCGCGCTGATTAGTTCCTTCTTGCGACAGTCGTGTGCTTCGAGAATATTGTATTTCGTAGAGTATATATTGTTTCGATATTTCAGTGATGATTTTTCTCGAGAAATTGTCTCAGTCGCCGCGTTTTTCGAAACTTTGATTCCTGGACACAGTGTACACAGTCGATTTAATTTGCCGATGAAAGAATTTGTCTCTCTTTTTTTTTCGTCTTAAGGTACTGCAAGTAAGACTAAGTAGCATTTTAAAATTCAATACTCAAGACTAAGTAATTATAATATCGAACCCGATGATAAATACCGATCAGGTAGTAAATAGACCGAGCGCGCCGCAAGCGAATTAAAACTAATCGTAAGAAAACGTATATATATATATATATATATATATATGTATGTGCTACTTTGTGATACGGTAAATATCTTTCATGTGTAAATATGAGCTAGCGTTCTTTTTTATTTAACGTATGCATATATTTGTCACTTTAACATGTTCCGTAACGCGTCAGTCGCGGACCTGCTCTAAACTTTCCTTTCAAACTCTAACACGAAATATATTCATGAAACGATATGCATTACGATATGCATTATGAGATACGTGTTGTTTAATATATTCGTAGGCACTGATGTAATATTATCTTTCAATGAACTATTGATAGACGCCGTTGATATACTATTATTTTCTTGTAATCTGTAATTAATTCCCGTTGATTTGTTACTGCATTCATTATTACACCTTACATTTTCATTTTAAATTTATAACATGAAAAAAGCTTCGACATAACTAAAATTAGTTTCAGCTTGAAGATCAAACAAGTTTATGTAACTTTTTGTAAAACCAAATGTTTTCAAATTTGCAAGAATGAAATATTACGTTTCACCTTTGGATAAAAATGTTTATACATTTTTCCCGAGAAAATATATACTTACTGAACTTTTTATAAATATTTTTAATTGAACATTCGAAATATAATTATGTTTGTTACACACGTTTCGTATAACCAATTGCACGCAACAAATTAAATGTACTAACAAGTGAAACAAGCTGACGAATATATGCAACGTGAATTACATTTATTAAACTGCATCTTTGGTGATTTGAACTGCAGTCGAGTATGGAAACAATCAGTGGAAATTTGCGAGACAGTTAACATTATTAACAAAGACAAGGTATATCGTTGAGAAAAAGCGCATTCTCATAGCCGACAATCACAGTTCGATTTCATTGTCACAATTTTTTGTCAAGCGCGACCTTAAAACTCAGCGTTTTATCAGCCGAGTAGCGTTTCAAGATCGCACCTCGCAACAATCTGAAATCTCAGATTGGACTATGAGTGTCAGGCCAATGGATGCCACAGGAATCGTCGAATTTTACGTTGGAACAATCGTAACAGGATACATTGATGTATAATTTGTCACAGTGGGTACAACGTGTACGTACAAGTCTGTAAAGGATAACCGTGTGTGGACGCTGATACGTGCGTGAGAGTGCGTTGATAAGAATTAGTATGGTGTTACGTGGATAAACAAACTACATACACTGAGAGAAAAGTATATGATATTTGGCACTATAATGATATACGGGGTGCACGATTATCTGAAGACATTGAAATATCTCGAGAACTATGCATTGGATAAAAAAAACAATTTTCATTGGTTGATGAAAGTTGTTAGTCTCGAAGGGGGACATCCAATGATACCAAACTTGACCTCCCACCCCACCCCCTGGGGATGGGGGTTGGGGGCAACTTTGAAATCTTAAATGGAAACCCCCATTTTTTATTGCAGATACGGATTCTACGCCACAAAATACGTAAATTTTGTCCGAAACATTTTTTTGATTCGTGATAGATGGCGCTGTAATCGCAAAAAATTATATTTTCCGCAATTCTCCAGAAATGATCATTGGATTGAGAAATAAAAAATACCTCAATATTTTTCAATATTTTTAAAGAACATAATAAAAGTTATTCCCCCCTCCCCATCCTCTCGGGGTAGGGTGGGTAATAACGTTCAAATCTCAATTGCATTGCCTTTTATAATAAGCCGTAGGCGTTGCACTGCCTTTTATAATAAGGCATTGCACTGCCTTTTATGATAAGCCGTAGTTCGCCATACACCCACAGTGGCGCGTCGAGCAGTTCCCTCTTCGATTCGGGTTCCCATTTGAGATTTGAACGTTACCACCCACCCTACCCCGAGAGGATGGGGGGGAATAACTTTTATTATGTTCTTTAAAAATATTGAACAGGTATTTTTTATTTCTCAATCCAATGATCATTTCTGGAGAATTGCGGAAAATATAATTTTTTGCGATTACAACGCCATCTATCACGAATTAAAAAAAAAGTTTCGGACAAAATTTACATATTTTGTGGCGTAGAATCCGTATCTGCAATAAAAAATGGGGGTTTTCATTTAAGATTTCAAAGTTGCCCCCAACCCCCACCCCCAGGGGGTGGGGTGGGAGGTCGAGTTTGGTATCATTGGATGTCCCCCTTCGAGACTAACGACTTTCATCAACCACTTTTTTTTATCCAGTACATAGTTCTCGAGATATTTCAATGTCTTCAGATAAATCGTGCACCCTGTATAGTAACTAAATTATAGTCCGAAATATCATATTTGTAGTAAGCATTACCATAATATCGGTAATAATTACGATATAGGCATGGTATAACCAACCATATAATATTTTCACTAAGAATTATAGTAAGTTAAACTAAAATTATTGTGTGGATGCAAATATAAAATGGTAGGTAAAAGTAACTCTTTTATATAGTCAATATTACCAGAATATTTGCTAAATGATGACAGATGTAACTACATGAATATTAAATCTCACTGTATTTGTGAGTGAGAAATTACCATATACGGTGGTAGAAGTAACTAAACAATTATTTCAGAAAATCATTGACTATATATTTGTGTTTATTCTACTATATTTTGCAGGTTTCCACGAACGAATAAAAATATGGTTGGCGCCAGAATTAACTGTAAAATATAGTGAGATTATAGTTAATTCAACTGTATTTTTCTAGTTTTCAGTGTATGTAAACTACAGTGTGCTCGTTCTTTCGTTCCTACGAGACGCAGCGTTTTCTACTGTAGCATGCTGAGTAATGTTAATTACGCAAGCTACACTGAACTACAGTTTGGTTAATAATACTCCAACATAAATTCTCGCCAAGTTCGCGCGCTACTCTACTCTTCCTTCGTGCCTCTTTGTTTCTTTCTCATCTACTCTGTTTAGCGACTACACGCAAAGGCTACCGTGCCGCAGAATCGTGCAGGACCGGTCTCTACAATGTACGAAATTTTACAAAAACACACCGACTCTCGGATTCTCGGCGGGAGGGAATGAGAGATGGGTGCAGAAAAGAGAGAGAGAGAGAGAGAGAGAGAGAGAGAGAGAGGGGGGTGGGAGGAGAAGGAGAGGAGATAGAGAGAAGAGAAGAGAAAGAAATGGGCGGTCTATATGCGTAAATTCCTCGCAAGCAGTTTCCTGTCAGACTTACTGGTCTAAGAGAAACCATAGAGATTAAAAAAAAAGAGAGAGAGAGAGAGAGAGGAAGAGAATACTTAACATATACTCAACAAGGCTCGCGAAGACCGCCCCCTATTTGTGCCGAGACTTCGATTACGAATTAATTTCGCTGGACCGGCGCTGCGCGTCTCGCGAGACTAGACATTATGCGAGAGTTCACGAAATAACTTCGTTAATCACACGGTATCACCCACCCTTAGTACTTGGGGTTTGTTGCTGTAGTTTACAGGTTGACACCTTAGCGAATAGTCTCCAGTCAGCCAGCCGGACATCCCTATCTGTAACCACAACCGCCCAGAGGCCATTTGCCCATCAATGAGGTGAATAAATATAATAGAGGATGGCGGAGAGGTATACGTGGTACGGTATTGCGTAAGCCTAATTAAAAAAGATTCTACTCTTTACTACTTTGTTGCTTCTGCTGCTGCTGCTGCTGCAACTACTACTACTACGTAACTAATATATGCGTCCAACCGCGAACGTCGAGCGATGCCGATGTCTCGCACCTCCAACGCGAAAAAGAAACCGCCGAGAGAGAGAGAGAGAGAGAGAGAGAGAGAGAGAGAATTAATTCCGAATAGCAAAGTGGTTGTTCAGTTAATTCTCGCGGGATTTAACCGAGGAGAAACATTACACAATTTCGCATCGCCTGGCAGAGGAGAAGGACGAGAGTCCGCATTCGGACTCGCAATCGCCTCCTCTGACTCAAGAGATGGAATGTCCCACGGTTATGATAATCCGTTGGGAATGCGAATACACGCATCTTACGATCCGGTCGAAAGATCGGAAGCCGTCGCCGCTAATTTACACCATCCGGACGTGCCACCAAGGAAACTGAAACAGCGAATATTTAAGCGAAGAACAGTGAGCTCTGTAACATGCTGGAGTGAGCCTCCGAGAGAGATCCGTCAGACAGTTTGGCAGAATATGAAGTCTGCTCGCGCAATGGAATCGCAGTCGATTTCTGCTATTATCAACGTGAGAATGGAAGGCGGACAGAAGGACAATCGGAAGGTATACCGAAGGCGCCGCACAACAGATACTTTTGGGGATTGTCGCAAAAGCGAGACTCGTCGGGGTCTCGGAGTTCCAGTCCCCAGAGGTTCCAGTCACGAGTTCACGCGATAGTGAACAAATTAAATGCGCGCTCTGGTCGGCAACGAACCGAGTTCCTGACTCTTAGGGGCGAATCTGGTTCCGGCGGAACTCTCCGTTCCCTTCAAGCGGTACGCGCTCGGTTCGTTGACTGTCGCGTTAATCCTAAGCGTCCTCGTCTCAAGTCCCGAAAGTGATTGACAGCGCTGACAAACACAGCATTAGTAAGCATTTGCAGCATCCATCTGTCTGCTGGAAGGCTCACTTCAGCACAGATTATAGGCGCTCACTGGCGTTTAGCGAGAGGTTGAAAAGAGGCGCGGCACATACTAGGTGTTCTACGCGAGAATGAGGAAGAAAGCGTTAAGCTCTTTCGCGTGTGGTCGCGCGCGCGCGGTTTAGCCCTGCTGCAAGCCTCCGCCCGGTGAGAGAAGGGTCAGCCTTCCCTATAAAACGTACGCAACATACATCGCTGTTGCGGTAATATGTCCTCATCATCTACGATACATCCAAATCACAGCGCTCCCACATGCTCGGCGGATCAGGTATCTGTACAGGTCCATGCTACGTATGTGTAGCATTCGATTCGGTTCAGTCTCAATTTCGTTGCTTGGTTGGGATAGCCGTGTCCGGTGTCGAGAGAGCGGTCCTGCTTATCGCTACTACACACGGGACTTACCCTTATCGCGGTGGGGCTGTTGGAATAGTCGACCGGTTGGCAGCGGAAGCTATATTGGTCCCACCATCCGCCCATGAGACACTGCGTTGCGAAAGAAACGTACAATCGTGCCTCCACACCGTTGTCATTGGCGCGTTCCCTGGTTCTCGAGACGAGCAAACGCGGTCGCTTCGCGATCGGTCGGACAATTATCACTCGCTCCGACGTGAGCTCATTATCCACACAGATCCACAAAGATCTTTGCGGGATCTTCTCGGACGGAGGATAGATCTCGCGATCAGAGTCCGCGGTGGTAATTGTTCTCGCGCATTACCGAAGCCGCTATGAGCTTGACCTTAGTTATCGAGGTCTTGTCCTTGAGTAATATTCGGAAAGTTTTATGCGCGTTGTTTGTTGAAAAGTCATTGACAACGTCGGTAATGTGTGAACATTCACCTCATTCAGCTCACGAATTTCTCGCAAAATCTGCTCGTCCGATCACGATATCAATTGGAAAGTCTATTCTTATTTTAATTACGACTTCTGTATCTAAATCGAATCGATCGAAATCTAAATCTAATCAAGGCGAGAATCTCTTACGGAAGTTTACGCTTTCCTTTTATCGGATAATTTCGGTATACTTTAATGTATCAAGCAGGAGATTCCATTTTTATGTCAACCATATTATATCAATCAGAGTATTTAATAGAGTAAAAAAAAAAAGGCGTTAAAATAAAATTTAAAGGAAAACGAAAAAACTAAAAACTTGAATCTGCATAGATTTCGAAAAATCAGATTAGATCCTGTTATTTAGGAAATAGATTTTAGTTGAATCTCAAGAAATTTTCTATATGGGAACACACGCGAATTTCGTCAGCATATATATACAGTATATATATATACCATATATATATATATATATGTTCCGATTTTTCTACTAGTAACTTATCACTGAAATGAGAATGGGATTCCCAATTGCAACGTAATAACGTACATTAATTTGGAACAAGTTTGGACAATCTGATCAGAATCTCCATTATACAATATATAGAAATGTGTTTTTGAAATTTCCATATATGGCGAGTCATAAATGTCTCGATAAAAAAATTTAGACATCGATAAAGCCTGACTTCATCGACAGCCTCGTGTCTTCATCGCATGAAGCCACGCGGCAGAATATAAGAAAGGTTCGAGAAAAGGTTAATCTCACGTGATGACGGGTCACGTATGAGCTCCGATGGTCGCGTGAGCGTGAGGGTTTGCGAAACCGACCGACGTTTGCAGTCCCCTTTTTCGCGCTACGGCTGGCGTAAACGTCGCCAGGAAATGCACCATTGACAAATTGACGTACTCGTTGCAGGCAACGAAATTGATCGTTGCGACTGTTAAGATAGAAAGTTTTCGTCAGAGGTTGCTTCGCGTTCCAGTGGCTGCCGGCGAGCACGAAAAGATCGCGGAATCATCAGCTCGCGCAACCGTAAGTAGCGTGCTGTACCGTGAGCCCATTATCGTCCGTTTTCAACCGTGTCGCGGGTATCGACCAACAAACCAATCGTGACTCGGTGTTTCGACGACTACTTCGAAAGCCGGTAGCGAATCTTCGAGCCGTACGAAAGGACGACGCCGATGATGAACAAGGAAAATTCGTGGAAGGCGCGCGAACCGGTTCCAATTGAGTCGAAAGAGTCGAAATTCGTTCTCGTCGTCTCCCCGAGAAAATTGAAATTCTATCGAACAAAACGAAGCTCTTTGAGCGTCACGTTAAATAAATAATACGAAGCAGACGAAAAGACGTGAAGATCGAAAAAGAAATCGGATCGAAGCGAGCCTCGTTGTAATTATTCACGGGGTAATTTCCAAAATTATATTGCTGTTGAATAATCACGAAGTTGAATATCAACGAACGGAAGAATACGGAAAGTCAGAATCTGACTGTAACGAAATAGGAAACGGTTCGGCTTGGTATGCCTCCTGAAAAAAAACTCGTTTCGTCGGGCAGGTCCTGTCGAGCGAGTCCGATTCACGTGACTCTCGACGCAGCCTGCGCTACGAGAGCGACAGGATTCTCACCTCGTAGAATAGCCATGTGGAGAAGATCACTTGGAAGAAGTTATAAACTATCAAACTGTTCCTAAGCTGAAATGGTTTCCGATTCTCCATCAATTTCGGTCCTAGGACCTTCACGACGAACACGTACGTGAGGCAGATGAATAGTGTGGGAAAGGGTGAGCTCATCAGCAGCCAATTAGTCGTCCTTGTGTCTGTAAAAAAACATCATTTTTTAAAGCAATGCTGAATCCTTTCGTTCTTTCCTAATAGGACCGCGGCGGGATTCGCTTTATTGTCGATCGATAACCTTCATGGAGAGAAGAAGGTCGCTTGAATTAACATAACAATGAACGAATCAAAGGCGTTTTGGCTGAAGAAGCCAGGGTTTCTAGTTCTCATAAGCCAAATTTGGTTTTAAAAACCCGAGATCTCGTTCCGCTTTTTCGAGCACGAGAACGACAGTCGGGCGAATTTAATTCACGAGAACCAGAAATCCTGTTTCTTCCAATCATCAAGGCGTCAAGGCATCAAGGCATCAACAGGCGCACATTAGGAATACACGAAAATTTATGCTGCCATGTTCAAAAAAAGATTACTTTTCTCTACGAAATGATCATTAATGAAGAAATGAGAAATCAAAGATATCTGACTCGACTTTCGGGTCAAAAATACGTGTCATGATAAGAAAAGTCAGATATTCATAATCCATAAAAATTGAAAACATCAAAGTCAAAATATCCTTCCATAAAAAATCGTCGCCGAAACTGTCGTCTTTAGTTTCAAATATAAAATATATGATATGAATATATATACATTATATATAATAGTAAAAACGTAATTGACCTATAAATCCATGTATATTTTACAAGGGTTTTTTCCTTAATTTTAACTATATTATTTTTATATAATTTTAACTATTTGCCTTAATTTTAAATATATTAATGAAAACATGATATATCCTCACATGTAATTTAAAAAACATTGATCGTAGCTGAAAATATTGAAGTCAAGTTACACACATCGCATGCCGATACCACGTTTTATTAAATTCTGACGACTACAAATTGCTCTTACACTTTTGACGAAAAACAAGAAGACGATAAAACTTGTAGAAATATTATTAAAAAAATTACAAGATCCTATGTTGAGCGTATAGTTTTCGAGAGATTTGTATAGAAATTATATTTCTATAATATAGTAGTAATTGCTATAATAGTAGCAACTGACGCATATACAACAGCCAAGTTATTTTTCTAATAACGCTAATTAATATGCAGAAATATTAATTTTCGATAATAGCGGTCGATGTAACTCGGGTTTTGGCCTTGAACTGTCTACTACAAATCCTGCAGTATCAACTGAGATTTAATTGATACAAAAACCGGAGTCCTAACTCAGCGTCTCGAAGTGACAGGAACTGCATAATCTGCCACTTCTACTTCTTTAAGAGAACCTCTTGGCAAAGCTGTGGATTAAATAAGATCAAAATAAACTGATATAATCCGAAAGTCGAAACCTCGGCCCTGAGCTGCCTCGCAGTTATAGATCCTGCAGAACCAATGGGAGATTTAATTTATATAGAAGCTGAAGTTCTACTCAGCGTCTCGAAACCGCACAATTTGCTACTTGTAGATTCTTAAGAGGACCTAAGAGAGAACCTAAGAAGAACCTCTTAGCAAAGCTGTAGATTAAATACAATCAAACTTGTTCGATACAGACTTTGATGTATCAAATGGAACATCGAGGTCGGAAGTTGAATTAAAATTTCAACTCCGGTTCCGGATTAGCATTAAGTGGAATGTTGGCATCAAAGGCAAGATCAAGATTTGAATTCGGCGAGAAGAGCCATTAATGCACGCGCGCAGCATGTACGCGCACGTGTGCAGCAATGCGCTCGTATTAAAGGCTGTCACTCGCTCGCTATATTTCTCGTCTCTTTGTCTCGTCGCGCATGCAATCGGTACAATACAACGACCTTGATCTAACGGCGGTAAAAATCCAACGACTCGACCTTGGGCGTGACCGCGCGCATCGCGCCCGAAGGACCTGCGGCACACACGTGATTCCGGCTTCTTTCACCTCCCCGCCGCGTATCCTTCCCCAACCATGCGCGTCATTCTCGTCCTTCGAGGGTTCAATCACCCTATTCGGCTCATGCCACGCGTAGAAATTCTTTTCGCCCTTCTCTCTCTCTCTCTTTTTCTTTTTTTTTAAGGCCCCTCGTATCAATTAAGCTGAATTGGCGCCGGATTGGAGAGGCGAACGAATAAAGGGTGCCGAATCGCGGGATTCCCACTACCCGAGGGAAATTCCTTTTTTTGCCTCCTTCCCTGCCTGAAGGCAAAAAACGTAACGTCAACGAAGCGGTTTACATTTCCATCCTGAGATGCGACGAGCGAGAATCGAAGAATCGTCGAATGAGCGGCCAAGTTATTCTCTCACGCTTACGTCCAGCAAAATGTTTTTTTATCGATCCGTCTTTTTATCGTCCACTTATCGATGCATATATGAAAATTCGATCTGCATATTTTTTTTCGTTTCCTCCGGTTATAAAAAAGCCATACGGGTACCCGGAAATATCATAAATTTACATAAACATGTATTATCGTGCGACGCTTCTTATCGCTTCGAGCATAAAGGATTATAATACAGTAAGTGATTTATAATTCGTAACGTATAAGTCACCGTTAAAATATGCGGTAGAATATCCACGAGGGAAAAAACGCACTAACGTGCTGCTAACTGAATATTTTTGGCTTCGGTCGTTTTAGCATTTACATTGTTCTACGTTTTTCATCCATGCACGCGCACGAATCGCGCATTAATTAGGGTTTCAATGAAGACAAGTTTCCTTCGACTTAAGAATTAAACACACCGAATAGGAAGGGAGAGAGTATTAAGTGGTCGCTAATTGTCATGGGTCGCAAAGTTGTCATGGGACGTCAGATTCCTCTCAGGTAACTTTTTACATATTTGCAAACAGAGCAATCGCGATATGATAAACGCGCTAATATCCATGCAATTATTCGACTGCGATATGAACCAACGTCATAAATAAGGCGGTAATTTGTTATGAAACGAAGTGTTAACGATTTTTCAACAGCTACCTACGCCACTTCGCGAGAGATGAGATATGCTGACGTGATGTAATGATTTTTGAAAGATTCCATGAATTTTTACGCACATTCAAAGATTGTTATCAGGAGTGATGCTTGCTACAAGATGTGTAGAAACCGATGTTGGACATTAATCGATTGAAATTTTGATCGATATCTTTTCTTGTTTTATAAGTTATATGGGATTCAAAAGAGAATTTAGTTGCTGTTGAAGAGTATATTACAAAACTTATACTCTATTTAAAAACCGAAATTTTCTCAAACCACATTTTTGTTTTTTTTTCTATATTTTAGTTCTTTGTATAATTTAATTTATATAATTGTATAATTTTGTATAATTTTGTATAATTTTTTGTATAATTTTTGTATAATTTTCGATTAAAGTACTATAAATCTATTAGAGGATTTAGTATGTATTCAAAGTAAATTCAATATTTATAACAGATTTGCAGATACATAAACATATCAATCTAAACTATTACGTCTAATTTACTGAGAAAATCGGAGAAAGAAAGCATATTTTCCTATTCATATATGTCTACATAAATTAATTTATAGTAACATCGTGTGTCCTGATATCTTAAGATTATGTGAATTTTGTGCGTCCTCCAGACAGTTTCGTTTATTTAAAATATTTCACCTACTTAATTTAAGCAAACGTATGATTTGCATTTATATTCGCAATTTGAGTTATTAGGTTCTTTCCCTTTTTTTTATAAATGTGTACCGTCCCGCAAATTGTGCGTATACCAAAAAATTCTACTCCTGGATAAACTGGATAAATATATATATACATTACGTGTCCTCGTCGCAGGACATGTTCCTGTGTATACGTTCGAGTCACGTAAAAGACAAACTCCGCATAAAACATTGAACAAAGGTCACGTTTAAAAAACAAATTTACGAATTACGATTCAATTTACGATCTGACTGGTCCATGACGTGCGCAATGAAGTTGAAGAGGTTTACACGTTAAATTTTTTCATATGATTCACGACTGAGAATCACGTAACAGTTGCAAGGGAATAAAAATAAACGAACGAAGGCGTATAAGCGTTTTATGGTACGAAAATGGGTGATAATTAGAATTCACGGAATATTGCTTAGTTAGACGAGAGAGAGAGAGAGAGAGAGAGAGAGAGAGAGAGAGAGAGAGAGAGAGAGAACAAAACAGAATAATAAATGTCTTGCATTATTTATCTTTTTTCCCAGCCGGCATCAATTACGAATAATCCGAAGGATTCTGATACTGCGATGCACTCGTCTATCGTGAAATTATCGCGTGACTACGTAATCGTCGATTATAACGTTGATGATATCATTAACAACAAAGCGAGAAAGACGCGAGAGAGGGCCGGAATTCCCTTATTTCGCTGTTACTGTTATTCAAATCGCTGCTCCGGTAATCGCGATGAAATCCACAAAATTCAATCTCCCCGTCACGCGTCTCGAGATGGTACAGCAACAATATCTGAAGTGTTTATCCAGCGTGCCGCGAAACCGGTTTATACATTGCATTACGGTCAACATACTGCCAGACATACCTGCCCGCTTGTCCGACATACCGTGGAATCGGTTCACGTACGCCGAGCTTCAATAAAGCCTTAAAATATTTTTCGTCTTTCGAAATGTAGGAGTCTTCTTACATTACGTTACTATCCGAATGCACATGTACGATATGACGCGACGTGAATACGACGCACCTAAGCCTCGGGAAGAAAATAACAAATTAGCTGAATAATTGAATAAATAACGCGCAAGCATATTCAGATACGACGCAAACAATCGAAGAAAAGATTAGTGAGTTTCTTGACTTACTTAAGGCATTGTGAAAACTTAATGCGCTGCGTCACAATCGATACTTGTCCGACGTTTTATGGAATCGATTTATGCACGCCAAGCGTAACATTAATATCGACCAAATTCGTATATTGTGCTACCTTATTTCCATAACATTAACATTTAACCAAGCCGAAGTTATCGCTAGCACCTGGATATCCGTCGTATCATATTAATAGTATTATATTAATCACACTGAGAGAAAATGATATATGATATTTGGAATTATAATGATACAGTAATTAAATTATAGTCCGAAATATCATATTTATAGTAAGTATTACCATAATATCGGTAATAATTACGATATTGGCATAATATAACCAACCATATAATATTTTTACTAAGAATTATAGTAAGTTAAACTAAAATTATTGTATGGATACAAATATAAAATGGTGGTAGGTAAAGTAACTCTTTTATATAATCAATATTACCTAAATAGAATATTTGTTAAATGATGACAGATGTAACTATATGAATATTAAATCTCACTATATTTGTGAATGAGAAATTACCATATATATGTGGTAAAAGTAACTAAACAATTATTTCAGACAATCATTGACTATATATTTGTGTTTATTCTACTATATTTTGCAGGCTCCATCAACTATAAAAATATGGTTGACGCCAAAATGAACTATAAAATATAGTCAGATTATAGTTAATTCAACTATACTTTTCTATCAGTGCACGATATGATATTAAGTATTAATATTATTATACTTATTAATAATATTACACTAATATTATCGTGATACTAATATTACATTTTGACGCATATAATATTAATCTCACATTAAATCAGTATATCAATGCTATATAAATGATATAATGCGACATGTGTGTGCGGTATGATGCGATATGCTGTTGTGCGTGTGAAATGACAAATTAACTGAATGACAATCAACGCGGTTAGCATATTCAGACACAAGGCAAACGATGAAAAACTTGGCGAGCCTTTTGGTCCAGTTAGGGCTCTGTAAAAACGTTCACGTACTACGTATATATTACTACTACGACATATTGCCGATCCCACATATCGGCTTATCTACAGCGAGCTTTAATGTTTACTAAACCAAAACTCATTAGTTTTCCCAATTGTTCCCATCGTATCTGAACATAACACGACACGATACGATACGTGTTACGTCAAGCTGTCGAAACGACGGCTTAGCTGAGCAATTAATAATTATAATGCACACGCGATGCGAACAATATTCGATAGCTGAGTGAATTTTCATGTATATTAGCGAGTGACGAGGTTTTGCTGAAGCTTGATACATTGTATTGTGATCGGCTTGCCGCCCAGACGTACCTGCGTGTTTGTCCAACATATCGTGGAATCGATTTATGTACTGCATTATGATCGACATGGCGGCCGAGATCAATCACTCTGAGGTCTGTCTACCTTGGATGGAAAATCTAGACGTGGCCTGCGGCTGTCACCCTCTTCTCTGAAACGAAACAGAGAGGCAGTCTCGATTACTTGGGCGTTCGTTCATTAACCGGGACTCGGGACTGATTCTCTCTATCACGGACACTCGCGGACGCTTGTCGCGAAATGTACACATCGATTAAATTCGTGATGTTAAATCTCGTTAGAATCGTCGCGCGATCGATCGCGCACGCGTACACCAACATACACACAAGGCAGGCGTACACACAAACACACACAACCGGGTGTCCCAGCAGCAAAGCAGCAATATTCTGAGCGGCTGTAATATCGATATGGTGTGTTTGTGGAGGAAAAATGCTCGTGCAAACATGCGTCGTGTATCGAACGATTGAGCGAGATCGAGCTGTACGAATGTACAGTTGCAAAATTGCCGATAAAAGGTGTGTCACGTACTGTTTCTGTATTACCTGTCCCAGTGGTCGAATGAACTACTGGTTACAACACGTTACGCGAAAAGTGTAGATAAACTGCTAAATCGCATGAGAGACGCTACTCCGCTCGTCCGCAAGGAGGCGATCTGGACGAACTCAGCGGCGCGAGCCGGAGCGGAGCGGAGTCTTCTCAGGCGAGTCGCGAGACGGTGGGCGGCGGTGGAATGAATTTTCAAGATCTCGTCGCAACCGATTTGCCACTTGGACGACAAATAGTCCGAAGCGGCGCGCAATAATGTTCCCTTCCCTTCTCGTCAACGGTTTTGCAACTGCACAACTTCGAACACCTGCCTACCTCGACCAGTTTTGCTCACATGATGACTTGGCTAACTTGGCCTCCCGGAATATATCGACTTCCCTTTCATCCCGGGAACACCCTGTATAACACGCACGTGTACAGAAACGACGTGTACAGAGTCGACTTCGCGACTTCTTCTGTTGTATAATAGCCGCTGACGCGCGCGCTTACAGCTACCGAATTTTTCATTCGAAAGCGATTACAAGCGACACACAATCGGCCGGCGTCGTCGCGCAATTCAGGCAGGGTCGACCATGAATCGACACGGCCTTGAACCATTATAGCGAACACACACGTTCGTCGTGTCGTACGACGGACGACGGCGCGCGATTGCATTTCACTCGCGGCTGGAGAGGACGCGCGCTCCTGCGAATACGCGAGCGAGGAGCGCGAGTCGCCAGCATTTCTCTTCGGCCGTCGTGGAATCCGCCGACGACTCTCGCCGACTCGCCGAGAGCATCTCTCGCTGCTTCTCATCTATTGTGTGCCTTACGTAATACCGAACGCGATGATTCAGCTGATCGTAGCGGTGCGTAGGATGACTTCACGCAACGCGACGGAAACACCGCGCCGCCCGCCGCCGGAATTATTCGAGAAACTGCGACGGAAAAAAATATCCCGAACTGATCGTCGGTGCGTGTGGAACATCAATTGTTCCACGAGGGTTTGCGTGTCGAGGAAAACAAACAGCAGCCTCGGCTCCGCCGCCGTCCGAGCGACAAATTGAGGACAAATACTCGGTCGTTAACGAGAAGCTAACAGCAGCGATTCATCTTAATAATAAATCAACTGACGGCTAATTGAAGCCAGAAATAATATCCGACTAAGTTAGTTGCGACGGGGGGGATCAAAGGATGCGCGTCGTCGTTATGAAGCATTTTACGTAAGGAAATATGGAAAATGCTAATTCCGATTTCTACGCTTCGGGGCTGAGAGCGAAATTAGTTGCGTTGCCGAGCGGCCTGAACGGTTTTTAGCTAACCGGCCGAATTTCGCGAGCAGCGAGAAATTCGCCAAGGGATTTCCTCTCGATTCGAAATATCACTCTCTGTCACTCGTCCAATCCGGATATCCATTTGCAACATGATCCGTCGCACGCGGTTATACAATATATTAGGGGTGCCGGAAAGTCTTTTCGTTTTTCCGTGTTCCTCACTTGGTTCGAACGCTGCCATTTCCCAAGAGTAAGTTCGCTCTTAATGGAACTTGATATACCCGATGAAAAGAAAGTGTCGTTAACTAACCCGGATAAATTAAATGAATTCTGGATTAAAATTAAGAATCCCGGAACTACAACCAGCGGAAATTGAAGGTTTTAAAATACGAAAAGACTACCCCTAATACATTTCGTCGAGGTCCGTTTTCAAGTGCCATTTCCTCCGGCTCCTCGCTCCCGCTGAATTTCGCACACAGATTCAACAGATCTCAGCTGGCTCAGCGCTCTGTTACATTGTAATAACCCGTTAGCGCTATACGTAACAGTTCCGAAGCGGCGCTTCTCCGACGCTCCGCCGACTCGCGAACCTTCGCCCTCGCCAGCGACCAGCCAGCTAGCCAGCCGGTCGATCGATCGATCGATCGATCGATCGATCGATCATGCGCTTTGCGTGATCTCCTGGAGAATCGCCAATTGGCGATGCAGGCGATGGAAGAAGAAGACACCGAAAGACTGGACGAATGGAGGTCGCGATCGAGCGCTTCATGCGAGCGCGATCATGATCGCGCTAGATGTTTCGTTTTGCGCTTGCAAAACAAAAAGCCGAAAACGCGCCGAGCAAGCGAAATACCTCGGGATTATGTTGCGAAAACTGTATGTATTGTAACACAGAGAGCCACACGGCGTACGCAGAAAACGAGCCGCGGGAGGCCGCGTGCGCGAATGTGTATGTGTGTGTGTGTGTGTGTGTGTGTTTGTGTGCGTATGTGTGCTGCATGCGTTACGCAAGGGCTCGCTCGCACCTGTGCGAGCGTGTGCGCGCAACATTCCCGTATCCGTGTGTACCTGAAAATCGTCATTTAATCTAATCTGGAGGAGAGGTGGGAGAGAGACGAGTGGCGTCTTCCGCAGCTATGCGACATTTCCTTCCTCCATTATCGATACAGAGAAGATCGCGCGACTAATTTTATCTTCGCGGCGACTCTTTGAGATTGAGAGCCACGTCGGATTTAATTACTAATCCGTCTCGCCTATCTGCCTCCTCTTCCGATTAATATTCCTCTGGATACGATAAAGAATTCCTGGGAGTTCTCTTACGCGACGAACGCAACCAGTCAACCAGTGCCGGGCATTGGTTGATTAAAAAATTCTGTTGGACGTTAAAACGGATATAAGATTAACGCCGAGTAAATGCGACGATAACATTCAGCTTTGTCGAGCGATTTAATTGATCACACGCTGATTGGCAAATACCAACCGATTAATAGTCACCGGCCGATTCTAAATTGTTCATAATTACGATGCATGACGATCGATTGATTTTCACTAGTAATTTGCCGGTTATTTCAATCAAGTCGGATATCCCAGCACTGACGCAATGTCGCGGGCACTAATCGATTCAATTCCGGTTGAGTAAAATAAAATAAGAATTAACATCGAGTGAATCGTGTATTGCGTCCCATTAATGTTTTCCAATCGATCGTCTTGATGCGATTTAATCACACGCTAATTAATCATTAATGTGCCCATCCGATTCAGTTAATCATGATTACCCGCATGACGTACGATTTCCATTATTACCGACTCGCCGACTATTCCAGTATAAATTTCCAAAATAAAAAAATTCAATTCTGCAAATTAACACTGACGCAATGTCGAGTTATCGAGTGCAATTCCAGCTGACCGAAAAACCCAGAGCGATTGTCATATTAAATTCCGATGAAAATATTCATGTCATAGGTTTGCCGATTATTCGAGTCAACAAACACCATTCTTGTCGATTAATAACCAACCAGACTGATGACGTCTGCTCGCTAAAGAGATCTTGCCCGATCTCACGCTGCCCGATATGTTCTCGTAACGCACGGATAATCGCGCATCCGCTGGGCCACTTTGACGCAATTGAGAGATTTAATCGAGGTGTCGAGAGTGCGTGAGTTATCCTCATCTTCAGGAGCAGCGGCGAGAAACCCGCGGAAAACGCGAGAGTCCCATCTCCGAGCTCCGGCAACGAGCTGTTGCCTCCGCTCGGCGAGCGAACTCCACGGGGAAGCCATTCATCCGCGTTTGTTTCCCTGTTCTCGAGAACACCGTTGGTGGTCTTGATTTAGCTTAAGATACACCTGCCGCGTAACTATTTACGGTTCACGACAGGCGATCGCGGCGGCGTAAATGATTCATCGGCCCCGGGTGACGCGCTGCTTCGATCGGTGTCGTTGTCGTTCGGCCGGCACGCGAAATCGCAGCGCTTTCGCGACTCTCCGACTCGCGACAGAGCGTGAAGCCAAAGCGCGGTAACGCGCCTCTGTAATGCGGTAACGCACACGCATTACAGCCAAGTGCGTCGCGAGTACAACGCACTCCGCGCGGCGGCGGCGGCGGCGGCAGGAGAAGAAGAAGGAGCGACGTCGCGGCGCGACACCGCTTGGTTTCCTTGCGAGGTTGCCTCGATTTTATCTACCTGCGCAAATAGATGAACGAGGACGCTATCTGCTGGTTGCATAATGATTTTTACGATAATCACGGCTTGGTATAATGCATCCGTGTAAAGCGACCGCATCGACTCACCGGCGGAGGCAGGGGTTAATTCGGGACGTGATACAACGGGAGCCACGTCGACGCCGACGTCGACGGCCACGGTGACGACGACGACGGCGGCGGTGGCGGCAGCGACGACGACGACGACGACGTTGCTGGCTAACTAGTCGCGGCCACTGGAACGCGTCCAATCTCGCGAACGCCGCTCGTGAAAGTGCCTTTAAGCCCGGATCGTCGTTGATACGCGGAGTGGACTCGGCCGCGTTAAACGGCACCGCAGGAAAGTTAACGAATGTGGCTCACGTTGGACGCCAGTGACGGATCCAGCTAGTTCGGGGCCTATCGCGTCATCTCGCGCTCAATTCTCAGCCCGATGGCAAATCCTCGCTCTCCCTCTCTCTCTCTCTCTCTCTCTTTCTCTCTATATATATATATATGTTTCTCAGACTCGCAGACTCTTCATTCTCGACACTGTCAGGAAGCGAGGAACGCGCGAGACTGCTGAGCAATTTGATGCCTATAAGCGTTGCCAGGTCTAAATTTTCTTCGACCAAAATAACGCGCGTACACATACA